TCTCCTAGCATCTTCAGTGCCATGAGCACGCCGGCGGCCTCGACCAGCACCAGCACGGCTGCGCCGGCCACGATGCCGCCCGCCTGGCCGCGGAGCCAGGCGCTGAGCTGTGCCACGCAGCCCCCCAGGTGCACGACGGTGCCGGCCGCCACATCCCCCAGGCGCAGGGCCCCGAAGGCGCACTGGGCGTTGGCGGCGCGGTGCCGTTCCAGGGATCCAGGCAGCAGGAGTCAGGGACGCTGCACGCCTGCGCTCCTGGGGCACTGCAGTTGAAATACCTGCAGGGACAGATGACAGGAGCTGCAGGGTCCATGCACCTTCCCGGTGCGGGGACAGGCCCCCCCTGCCTCACCCCCCCAGTGCCCCGACTCACGGGTTGGTCTCCCAGTCGCGGTAGGAGCGGAGACCGCAGCACTGCAGGCTCCGCTGCACCTCATCCACCAGAAACCGCAGGTCGGGCTCCTCCTGGTAGCGCAGGAGGCAAAGGAGCAGGGCGTCCCGCAGAGCGTCCCGCAGCCGGTGCCGCGCCGCTAACAGCAGCAGCCCCCCCAGCACCTCCAGCCCCGCGAAGGCGAGCACAGGCCCCACGAAGAAGCGCAGCAGGCAGGGGCTGGAGCGGAGGGCGCCCAGGCAGCCGGCCAGGGAGACGGTGCTGGCCCCCAGCCCCACCAGCACGAAGAGCAGCATGGGGTCAGAGCCCAGCGGGGCCAGGCGGTCCCCCCCCAGCTAGCGCTTGGCCAGCAGCCCCCACACCCCCACAGCCAGGGCCAGCAGGCCCAGCAGGAGGAAGAGGAGGTTCCAGAGGAAGGCCAGATACCGCACGCACTGGCTGAATGTGCCCGGCTTGGGGGGGACGGGGCACCACACCCCAGGGTCTTGCTCAGCCACGGGAAGGTCCATGTCCCCAGCCAGTGAGCTGTCATCGTCATCGGAGGAGGAGTAAGGCAGCTCCACCAGCCTGGACACCTGCAGGAGCCTGGACGCCTGCATGGACAGACGAGCCACTCGCAGCCAGCGGGGCAGCCCCAGCAGACCCCCAGAAATGCCACCCCTTAGCCCGTGTACCCCCCCACCCCACAGCCTGAGGCTGTCACAGGCTCCTGGAGCCACCACGCACCCCCTTTGCAAGAGCCCCCTGCGCAGGGTGCCCCACATCTGCCCCCCAACGCTGTAACCCTGCCCGTCACGGAGACCCTGGGGTCTGAGCAGCTGGGGAGCACGTGGGTGCTCTCCCAGAGACCCTGCCCCTAAGAGGGACCCCCAGCGATGCAGGTGCTGCAAGCTCCAGCGTGGAGCCAGCACCCTGGCACCCAGGGGACATGGGGCACCTGGGGCAGGAGCGCGGGCTGAGGGTCCTGCAGGACCCCAGCGTTACCTGCGGCAGTAGCCGGGTGCTCTCCCCGCTGCCGGCTGCCCCGCAGGGCCGGGAGAACCATGCTCTGCTCAGCGCCATCCTGCTCGCAGCCTGGTGCTCAGGCCTAGGCAGTCACACTCCCATCATGTGAGGGGCTGTGGCCGGCGCTTAAATAGGGCTGCGGTTCCCGGCCCCACAGCTGGGCCCGCTCTGGCCCAGCCCCGCTGCAGCACCCGCGCCCGCCGCCCCGTTAGCGGGGTCGGTA